GCCCGGCTCCGCCAGGCCGCCCGCGCGCGGCTCCAGGAGCGCCCCGGGCCCGGCCCGGGCGGCTGCGGCTCTAGCCGGAGGCTTCGGGGGTGCCGGGGCGCCGCACCGCAGCCATGGCCCTGGTGACCTTGCAGCGCTCGCCCACGCCCAGTGCCGCCTCCTCCTCGGCCAGCAACAGCGAGGTGAGCCCCGGGCCCGCGGCCCCGGCTGGGCGGAGCAGCCGACGCGCCAGGCCTGGGCCGCGAGTGTACGACTGCGGGCGCCGGGGGCGGCGAGGGGGCGACGGCTTGCGGCCCGGGGCCTATGGGGACGCCGCTGTATGACCCCACCTGGGCAGCCGGACTGCGGGAAACTGTGAGGATGCGATGCCCCCCTGCTACCTGGGGGTGACCTCGTTTGGGGGTGACTGTGTGTGCGTGTGTTACGCCCGTCTGGGGGTGACTGTGCACTGAAACTGTTTGGCTGATCTCCGTTTGCGGGTGACTGTGCAGACACTCTGTGTGTGTGTGTGTGTGTGTGTGTGTGTGTGTGTGTGTGTGTGTGTGTGTGAGTGTGACATTGACCTCCGTCGGGGGTGCCTTTCCGGGAGACTGGATGTGCGACTGAAACTCCTAATTGGGTGACTGTATGAGACGCGGGTTGTGAGATTTGTGACCCTGTGGCTGGTGTGGGCCCTTTCCCTAAGCGCCTGGCTGTGTGTAGGTGAGACTGTGTGACTCTGGCCTGTGTGCTGGGAACGGTGCCTATGTGACACTGTGAGAAGCCACCAGCATGCCCCTGTGAATGTGAGATTGTTTCCCTGACCACACGCCCCTGGAGTTCTGACTCTTGGTGTCAGTGGCCGTGCCTCTCAGGGAGCCGTGTCACTGTGTGACAGTGACCCAGTGAACTGAGGGTGCTGTGGATCTTATGTCGTTGTGTGCATCCTTTTTGTAGCGTCGTTTGGGGCTGCATGTTTACATGCATCTGGCTATGAGGCCAGTTCTGGGGTTTCTGTGTTTGTTCGGGTGCATTCTGCAGCTGCATGGCTGCACCGTGCCAGTTTCTGTGGGTCTGCGTGTGACTGGGCCTATGTGTGGCTGGCTACTTCTTGCGCTGGGGTCAACTGGGGAATTGGTCCTCTGAGTCTACAGTTGGGCTGGACTGCCCTAGGCTGGGGCCTCAGGTCTGTGGGCAGGCCACTCCTGTGGCTTTGGGGCCGACCCTGATCCCCACTCTTCCCCACCTTCTCTTGGAGAACCAGTAAAAGCCTCTGATCTAAACTCGTATTCATGGCAAGGCTGCGTGTTGGCCTGAAGGCAGAGCAGCTGGAGGATGGATGAAGACTGTGGACTGTTGAGAGAGGGCTGGAGGAGGAGCCGTGCAGGCCCAGGAGTGGCCGTGCCAGCATCTGGGCCATTCAGGCCCCTTCTCAGTGGGGGAAGTTGACGGATAGTCCTGAAAGGTTTGTGTGTGTGTGAGGGACAGAGGCGAGGACCTGTATTTGGGTTGACATCCCTGCCTGTCCCACTGGCTCCTGGCAGGGTAGCTCTCTTCGGCCTATTTTGCAGGGACTGGCAGGAACATTTTCAGAGAGGCTGCACCCTCCTCTTGAGGAGAGGCCGCTCATGAGTTATCTCATCTACAGACAGGAGATTCTAAGAGCCCTTCCTCTGCACGCTGAGAAAGAACATTGGTGGCCAGTTGCCTGCAACGGAGAAGTCAGGCTGCAGTAGCTTCTCTCCTCACAGAGACATCTGTTCTCCTACATCATCCCTATTACTGCTGTCTTGCAGTTGACAAAGTACTTCCATGCACTTCATCTCATGTTCCCTGCTCAAAAACTGTGTCAGATGAGTGAAGAGTTCAACGTCAGGAAGGGGTTATATGGAAGGCCTCTCAGCCTGGGTCTCTGATTCTAAACCCCTGTGTTAGCCCTGGTCTGTTTCTGTTTGAGACATAGTAACATTATTTTATTGGATTATTTTTTAGCTGAGCTATAATTCACATACCATAAATGCACCATTTTAAAGTGTAAAATTCAGTGGTTTTTAGTATATTCACAAGGTTGTACAACCATCCCCAACCACTGTCTAATTCCAGAACATTTTCCTAACCCCAAAAAGAAACCCATATCCCTTAAGCCATCACCCACAATCTCCCTCTCACCACCCCACTATGCCTGCCCCACTCTCACCAACTCCAGGCAACCAGTAGTGTACTTTCTGTCTCTGTGGATTTTCCTGTTCTGCACATTTCATGTAAGTGGAATGATGCAATATGTGGTCTTTTTTGTGTCTGGCTTCTTAGCATCATGTTTTCATGGCTCATCCATGTTGCAGCATGTGTCAGGACTTCATTCCTTTTTATTACCAACTAATATTCCTTTGTATGGCTAGACCGCGTTTTGTCGGGTGTTTAGATGGTTTCCACGAGACACATTTAAAATGATTATATAAAGTATTTTTTTTCACAAGGTGCCGATAACCTGGCAAACATAGAATGCAACTCACCCAGTTTTTATTTGACTTGAGCAAATCAGCAGCCTTAGTCGCCCAGGGAGCAAGCAGCGACTAGGATGTTCCCTGGAAGGCAAGGCTTTCTTCCAGATGGGATGAGGCATGCAGGAGCAAGGCGGGAGCAGGCGTGTGCGCCCAGATTTGGGGCTGGGCAGCTCTACCTCTAGCTTGACCTTCTTCGGGTTACTTCTTTCTCTGGGCCTTGGCTTATCCGAAGGGGCTGACTTCCTTCTTGTGTGTGTTCTTTGACATACGGAGCTTGCTTCTCCGGAGTAACCAACTTTCCATTGCCTTCCATCCTGAGACTCACAGAAAGTGACCGAGAATTCCGTGGTCTTGAAGTCTGTATCCCCAGATCACTTCCTCACTGGTCCAAAACTCACGACAGCTGTTTCCTGACCCAGCCTGTCCTGCTGCACGGCGTGGGAACTGTAGGAAGTCACAGCCTGGCCAGCAAAACAACACTCCTCTCTCTTTCAATCCTTTTCCCAGTCTTTAATTCTCATTTATGTCATCTTACTGTTAACCTTATCTCATTCCTTTGCGAGAACAGGCAGAGAGCACAAAAATAGATAAATCAATAACTTTCAGGAATGGATCGTCACACAGTTATTTTTGATGAACGTTCAAGGTAACTAATTTTCATGGGCAGATCCCCAGTGTCTTTTTTTGGGGTTGGATCAGGGTTTCTCGACACTCCTGACATTGGGGCCTAAAAATTCTCAGTTGTAGGGGGCTGTCTTGTGTATTTATAGGAGATGGCTAGCAGCACTCCATCCTCTACCCACTAGATGCCAGTAGCACCCTCCAAAAAACTGGCTCCAGACATTGCCCAGTGTCCCCTGCCGAGAGTACTTGCCCCCGGGTGAGAACCATTGGGTTAGACCCAACGTTGTCTTCGAAGTTTGCGGTGATTGTTTTGTGAGTGGCTTTGTGTGCTTTCCTTCAGGACTGAAGTTCATGGCCCTATGGTCAGCAAAGCCCTTCCCGATTTCCCACTTCTCCTTCAGTGTGGGGTAGGGCGTGTGAGTACAAACTGGCCGCCAGGGCATGCCTCTGCGTAATACTATACATACGTTATCGTAATACAAGTTAGGGACTCCAGGACCTTGTGGTGTGTGTTCCGTGCTGCCCAGACCCCTCCCTGCATCAGCTCTGGACCCTTTCCCTGTTGCTGTTGGCTTCTGTCTGGTTTCTGTCCTCGATCAGCCTTGCATCTCTTCCAGCCATCACTGCTTTCCAGGTTTCTCTTTCCCGTTCAATGGGCTCCTCTGTGTAACATACAAAACATGCCCAGTCCCAATGGTGCAGTGGTTTGGGGGTGTGTTTTCTTCTTATTTCAGTTTTCCCTTTGAAAGAGGAAAAAGAAAAAGAAAAATTGCAGTCGGGGCTTAAGTCGTGGTTTTACTTTTGAAGCCTCCCCCCTTGGCCTTTCAACGTTTAGAAATTATCAAATTGTCCCTTTCTCTCATTTGTATCAATAAACCAATCGCCTAGAAAGTTTGATACTCAACATTGCAGCCATTTTTGAGAACCACCAAGAGCTTTTTAAGACCCATAGACAGTCAGCCTCATCCTGGCCACCTTCCATTGTGAAAGATTTTGCCTGGAATGGGTTTTTTTTTTTTTTAAACCAGTCTGTTGGGGCTTAAAATGGTGTTGATCCTTCAGTGATGGCCTCTCTTGAAGGAGGAAATGGATTCTCTTAAAACATAGCCCCCTCCCCTTAAAAAAGAAATGCAGGATAAGGTCGAAAACAACCCTGGAAAGTTGAGAACTGAGGGCTTAACGATGTGTTGAGCGACAGTGCCAGAGAGCAATGTTACCAGATATTGATCCTCGATACTGTGGAAGGAATGTGGGCAAATACTGGGAAACCTCTACATTCCTCCATGGAAGTGACTCCAAGGAACAGCAAAGCCGGGTTGGTAAGGAAAGGGTGTGGCTGTTTTAGAAATAGCCAGGTTTCCTGAACATCTGTATCTTTTTCAGACACCAGAGCAGCAAACGTGAGATGGGTCTCAGGCTTGCTGCTTGTTTTGTCTGTGGGGTGACATTCTCTTTCTCCGCAGTTGGAGGCTGGCAGCGATGAAGATAGAAAGTTAAATCTCAGGTAAGCAGACTTTTAATTTTCGTTCTGAAGTCTTCTAAGCAGGTAAGAAATACTCTTGTTTCCTACCTCAAAAAAAAAAAAAGAATACACCAGTTTTTTTAGTAGTGCTTTAAAAACTTAAACATGTGTATAATTACATACAGCTTTAATAACATTATGTAATGTTTAGAAAAGAAGGAAGATAATTGCTGTTATTCTGCCACCCTTGCCTTAACCATCCTGAGCATTTTTATGTAGTTTCTTCCAGGATTTACCCTTTGCTTTTTAAAAAAAAATAATCATGTAATATGCTCTCTCATTTCTATCCTGCTTTTTGTAAGGTCTTCCTTTTGAGGTAAGCGCATTGCTGATTTGAAACAGACAGACATTCAAGCCCCTAAGTTTATTCATTCAAGGTGGTTTGTTTTTGTGTGTGCTTGTGAGAAATCTTGAGCTATGCTCACTTAAAAAAATTTCTAAAGCCGTAATCCTCAGTTGCTATGTTCACTAGTAGACACCGAAAACATTTTTGTGTTTCTTTGCCAAAAATTAAAGCTTTCTCTTTGGGTGTTTTGTTGGTTTACAGAAGATTTAGCGCTTCATTATATAATATATTCCTCTGCACCAAGGAGCCATTCTTAAACTCTGACTCTTAGAGTTTAAAAAAGTAAACAGTTTTAGGGATAGCGTTCTTTTAAAAAATGTTTCGGCTTGTGAGGATGCGGCAAATTAATTGGAAAAGGAAACAGTGTTTAGAAACTGGGGTCAGCCATTTGTTACTGAGAGCAGGATGTTTTCTCCTGGTTAAACTCAGATGCAGAATGCAGAAGTGGTGGAAATATATTTAGCTTGTTTTTGAAGTTTCTGTGTGTTTGAGTGAAGGGAGGGAAAATACTTTTATGGTGGCACAGATTATTTCTAAAGATCATACGTGTAAGGAAATAATAGCCTGCAAAAATCAGAGATATCTTATTTTAATTGCTAGGTCCTTATTTTAATACTACACTCAAGGAAGTGACAGTGACAAATTTCCTCTTTCCCCTGGGGTTTTTGGTTGCTCAGGGTCTCAGCCAGGGCTGGAAGGCTGAAATTAGCCAGATTCCCAAGTGGGGGCAGTAATGGGCTGTGTTGCAGATCACACTGGCATTTGGCACTCTGCTTGGCGGCAGGGAGGGGGAGAAGTGAAAATATGCTCCTTGGAAGCTATTTGGGTGCAGAATAACTGGGAGAAGGGCTCGCTAGCCACTGTGTGGGGCCCCCAGAGCAGCCGCAGGCACCCTTCTCCCTCCCTAACCTCACTCCAGCCTATACCTGGAGTCGGAATCTCTTCCACCCTTTGCCACCAGCCCTTTCTTTCAGGGCTGTTGCCCAGGAGGCAAATTTCTCACTTAGATTGTCTTTAGGGATGACAGTGTTTTGCATTGTGTACAATTAATAAGAACTTATAGATAGCAGTAATCTGAAAATGTGTATGTGCCCTTCAGACCAATAAGAGGCCACTTTCTCTGCAGTTTGGAGCAAGGAAGTAATGAGTCAGCAGCTCTGTATAGTTGCATATTTAATCCCACAACAACCCTATGGGGGGTATTTTCCCAGTTCAGAGGTGAGGAACCTGAGGCCCAAGTTTGCACATGGGATGTATGTGTGGTGTGATAAAAAAATACGGTGAATGTTTAAATTTAAAAAACAATTTATTACAGTAAAAGACACATTGTCATTAATCCCCTCAAAATACTCGCCCTCACTTCGAACACACTTATCCCATCGTTCTTGCCACTTTCTGAAGCAGTTCTGGAAGTCCTCTTTTGTGAGTGCCTTTAGTTGCACTGTTGTGGCTGCCTCGATGTCCTGAATTGATTCAAAACATTAACCGTTCATGGTCATCTTGACTTTGGGGAAGAGCCAGAAGTCACATGGTGCCAGATCCGGTGAATAAGTGGGTGAGGACACGCTGTAATGTTTTTATTTGACAGAAATTGCCGTATACCAGAAGTGATGTATGACACAGAGTGTTGTCATGATGCAGGATGAGTTACGTCACCCTTTAAAACACCTCTCAACCGTAGCTCACACCCAACTGACTGCACTGAACAAGTTGAAATTTGTCACACAGTTACTAAGGTTTGATGTGCTGCTTCCTGTATTAGATGCCTGCCTTTCCATTGGATAGCACTCGGCAGCAGCATTCATTGTATCTTGATCACACCTCATACTATATTCAAAGCTAGGCCTCTGGTGCCTCTAACACCTGAGTTTATCATACTGCTCTGCCTTTCGCGACCAGGTCAGTTGTTCAGCTGAATCAGCTGTCTTAGACGTACAGGTGAGGGACCTTGCCTAACGTCATCCAGGTGGTTAGAGGCAGCGCCAAGGCCAGAACCGATGGCCACCACTAACTTGTGGCGGTGCTGCCCAGGATGTCAGATCACTGATGACCACTGTGAGTCCCTTTTCACTGCTTTCAGCATGTTTCCGATGCCATTGGGAGCCCTGGGAGACCCTGGGCTTGAGTTGGGGACCTGGCTGTGAGCTTGCCCTCTCAGATTCCCTTTTCAGTCCCTCTTCACTCACCTTGACATTTCACTCCCCTCTTTTCGGCAGAGGACACCATCCTGCTTTCTAACACTCCTAGCCAAACAAGACAAGTTCTGTTGTCCTGGTTTAAGCTTTGACTGGACCTCATTCACGTCTGTGTGTTCATTTGCATTTTCAGGCCTTTTCTCTCTAAGGCTTTCCTAGAGAAAAAAAATGTATGGAATGGTCCGTTGTTTTTGCTCGTCTGGTGGGAGGAGAGTTAGGGGAGAGCGGAGTTTTCTTCGCTTCAAATTGATCCTGCCGGTAAACTGACATGATTTAGCTTCTAAGGAATGCTGGCAAGGGAGGGAAACTGGGGATAGCAGACTAGTCCTCTCCCCTTTTCTCTCTTCTCTGCAGAGAAAGCAGGTAGCTCTTGGCTTCCCTCGGTTCCAGGTCCCACACCTGCCTGGTGTGGCAGGTACACGTGCTTTTGTTTCATCTCTCACTTGGCGCTTCCTGTAGTGATAGCTCCGTAGCTCCCTGCCCGCGCCTAGCTTAAACGTATCACTGTAGTTCCAAGCCTGTGGTAAATTGCGTACATGTGTGAAGCGAGCTGTGGGGTTCGGGACCTGGCTCCTGCAGTAGCGGCCAAGTTCCTTTACCTCTGCGTTACTGCACCTCTGTGGGTCTCAACTGTTCATCTGTGAGACAGAGGTAGAACTATGACCGACCTTTCAGGGTTATTGAGTAGTTTGTGTGGGGGCTCTTCACACAGAGTCAGATCCATGATGGGCTTGGAGAGCAGTTGCTGCATTTGGTCTTCATAAGATGTCGCTCATTTTGGTGTTAGCCCACAGCATAGAATTCGAGGAGCCGACTCCCTACAGGTGCTGCGTCCACTGTGTCACACTGGCCCGGCCCCAAGAGAGCCACCATCGTGGACGCTCTGTGACTTGGAACAGCCCACATTCTTTACCTGGCAATATCCCTATAAGTCGCAAATAGGAATGCACACTTTGCAGAATCAGTGTTGTAATTCACACAGTTTCCCTGAAGGCCTTCTGCAAAGTGTCTCCGGAGCTGATCATCCCTAGCCCAGAAGGAAGCTAACCGACACAGAGCAGTATAGATCGCTTCTTGCGCTCCTCTGCCCTGCTCTGTGCGTGTGCAGACTGCTGCTGGCCTCCAGCAATACCCTTTTGGAAGCTGTGCAGTTCAGACTGTGGGAATCAGTGAGCAGATGGCCCCGCTGGCAGCCGCTCCTGGCTCCCTCGCTATCCTGGGAGCTGCCTCAGCCTGGCATGAGATGTAAGTGGTTGTGTGCCAGGCCGGGCCCCAGGAGGGAATATGGTTGTGTTGTCTCCAGGGTGTGAATCAGGAGTGACTTTTTTTTTTTTTCCATCCACTGTTTCCAAGTCAAACACATGAAAATGTTCATTAGCGTTTTTAAAATTTTTTTTCTTGTGTGCCCAAGTAAATATTTGGGTCAGAATGGCAGGATTTTGTCTTCTCTGCTTTCAGTGGGAAACTGTAAAGTCCCTTATACTTCAGCCTTTCCCTCCACACTCCCTTCCCCTTTTTGGCCTTGACCTGGAATTCCCCAAGGACTCCATTCTCCTTAGAACCTTCTGAAGTGTGGCTGTGCCTTCTCTCTCTGTCCCACAGTGTCAGGGTGGGGTGGCAGCTGGCATGTCCTTGGTCCACAGACTGTGCTTCCTCATCTCCATTCGGCATCTCTTCTCCTAGGCCTGTGTACCCTTTGGGGTTCCTCTCTGCCTTTCTTGGCGATTTCTTAGCCTGGACATTATGGTCCCGGTTGATCACCTGTCCAGGTAAGGCCTGCCAAGAGGCATTAGGCATCCGCTGCTGCCAGGCTCCGTGCAGCAGGTCGCTGTATCAGTTAGCTGTTGCTGCGTAACAAGTTACCACAAACGCTGAGGTCCAAAACAGTATCTGGTTATTATCGCACAGTTTCTGTGGGTCAGGAGCCTGGACATGGTTTAGCTGGGTCCTCTGCTTGGGGTCTCACATGGCTGCAGTCAGGTGTCGGCCAGGCCTGAGGCTCAGGGCCTCTTCCAAGCTCACCCTGGTTCTTGGCAGAATTCATTTTCTGGCAGCTGTAGAAGCCATGGCAGCTTGGGTCTTCAGGACCAACAGGAGAAACTGCTACTACGGGGTCCTATAATGGAATGTCATCATAGGAGTGACCATCACCTTTCTCATTCAGTGTAACCTGAGTTGGGGAGCAACCGTCCCATCCTGTCCCCCTGGTGCCATCACACTCAGGATAGGGGCTCCCCTGGGGCCCCTACACCAGGGCCCGGGATCTTGGACCATCCCAAGAACCTGCCCACCAGTCTCAGTCTGTGAGTTCTTGACATGCCCCATCTAATGTAGAGAAAACGTTCGTGTAAATGAGTAGGTTTTCATTCAGTGTTACAGGAGTAGCAGTGGTGTCTTAGGTAAGGGTTATGCCAACTGAGGGGTCAGTCCTCGTGGGAAGA